TGCATGGTTCAGGTCCTACCTGACAGACCGTAGCTTCTCGGTACAGGTAGGTGCCTTCTCCTCTGCCAAAGCCCCTCTTACCTGTGGGGTTCCCCAAGGCTCTATCCTGGGCCCCCATCCTTTTTCTACTGTACATACAGTGCAGTGCTAGGGTCAATTCTCACAAAACACAACATCCCCTTCCATTGTTATGCTGATGATGTACAGATCTATCTGCCTCTCAATCAAAATGCCAACTCACTACAGCAGCTGATGGACTGCTTAGCAGAGATTAAATCCTGTCTGAGACAAAACTTCCTCACCCTCAATTGCGGCTTTCACACCAGCGCTTTTCCCTTTCTAGCTCCGAGCTAGAGATTTTCTGCTCCCGCTCTGTTCACACCACTCAGAGCCGGGATGGTGCTGCGTCATGACGTCACAGTTTACATCGCTGATTTTCTCCCCAACGGAGCTCACAACAACAACAACAACAACAACAACAACGGGGGACTGCGTCAGGTCGATGATCGTGTTGCTTTTAATCATACGAAGCCAGATTAAATTAAATAACGACTTCTCCAACCTTATACTTTTCTCCAGAGTGCCGTGGTTCATTGTTTATTAATGAGTGTATTCTGCCGTTAGCTCCGGGTTAGCTCACACGGCTCTAAAGTATTCACTGTCTGACTGTCACACAAGCAGCTGATACATATCCCCAGTTCCCCTTAAGTGAATGTGTGTCAGTCTGAATTGACGCTGTTTGGCATCACAACGCTGTTATGAAAGTTTCTCTGGTATAACATGGGTGATGTTAGCATAGCAACCGAAGCTAAACTGACTACTTGCTAAGCCGTTTTCTACAGGCACTTTTTACCGGCGTATTTTTCATTATGATTCTACTTGTGATAGTCGGACATGACAATATATATCTATCACTGTGTATATCACCATTCAAACATCTTTTAAAAGTTGAACAAACCCCACACAGCTCAGTAAAGACTGTGAAATGTTGACTTTATTTGATCATTTCAGTAAAAACTAACGTTCATATTTCTCTTTTTGATTATAATACTGATGAACGTTCAAAACAAAGCACTTTGGCAACTTACCACATACGTTTTAAAATGCTTAATAAGCACCGTAACTTTCATGATATCATTTCTCGTTCATAATCGGTTGTTTCCGTGAACGGCCGACTGTTGTGTGACGGCAAATGCGGCGGCCGCAAGGCATTGTGGGGCAGCATTTTCTCCTCTCCTTTCGGTTAGGGAGGTCCAGTGGTTCCTAAGCTAAAGGAGGTTATAAAGGAAGTTTGAAACCTCCTTTCCTTTTAATTTAGAGAATTGGAACGGCACTTATCATGGCTGCCACTGAGGGACTTCCGGGTCATTTCACTCCGTTAGGAAGGTTCCTAAGAGAAACGGACTATTCGACTTCAGCCCAGGAGGGTCAGAGCAGGAGGAAGAGGAGGAGATGAAGAGACCAGGAGGGTCAGAGCAGGAGGAAGAGGAGGAGATGAAGAGACCAGGAGGGTCAGAGCAGGAGGAAGAGGAGGAGATGAAGACATTAGTGAAGAAGAAGACATGTATGTGAGGAATGCAGATGAAGTGTCAGAAAGAGGGCCAGAGGCAGGGGTCAGGAGGCAGAGGAGACTCCAGCTGGACCACATGGTATGTTCTTATTCTCCTCACATATTCCATCACAGCAGAACAATCTAGCAGCTCTTAGTATTGACACATATTGAAATGTGTTGCTGCACAGGTCACCTCTAGCTCTCTGAAGAGATGGGTGATGTCATGTGTGTACTTCATTATAACTAAGTACTTTGACTGTACTCACAGTAAACAGAGTTCTAGGGTATCATGAGTACTTTCTGCTGTTTTTTATATATGTTAGTTTGTTTGTCTGAACACCTTGTTTCTCTTGTGCATCAAGAACACTTGTGTTAGGGCATGATTTAACAATAAATAGGTTATATATACAGTATAAAATACCACGTACTGTCGGCCCTCCCATGCCACCCTGGCATGACCTCTTGACCTCCCTTTGCCACCCCATGTCAAATGTTCTAGAACCGCCACTGTGACGAGTACACACTAATACACTGGAGATATCTGAGTGTGTGTGTGAGTTTTATCTGACACACCCCTCTCTGTTCTCACTGTGGTTTAACCCGCCTCCCCCATGACTTCCTGTTGAATGGTCCCATCTTGATAAAGCAGTGATGTCACCGCGCTGTGATTGGTGGAGACGTCCGTGTTTACAAGTTGCCTAAGAAACCAGACCTGTGTAGACAAAGCAGCCTCTGTTGGTGTGTGTGTGTGTGTGTGTGTGTGTGTGTGTGTGTGTGTGTGTGTGTGTGTGTGTGTGTGTGTGTGTGTGTGTGTGTGTGTGTGTGTGTGTGTGTGTGTGTGTGTGTGTGTGTGTGTGTGTGTGTGTGTGTGTGTGTGTGTGTGTGTGTGTGTGTGTGTGTGTGTGTGTGTGTGTGTGTGTGTGTGTGTGTGTGTGTGTGTGTGTGTGTGTGTGTGTGTGTGTGTGTGTGTGTGTGTGTGTGGACAGGTGGCAGACTCTCACACATTCCCAGTGGAGGTTTGGCTGGAGTCGAGTTTCTCTCACTGGATGTTTCTCGTGCCTCTGAAGCTGCCACAGTCATGTTTATGTTTTTCAAATATGTACAGGAAATATCTTTAAAGAGGAATATTCTGATATAAAAACCTGAAAGCTCCTCACTGGCAATTAGGATTTCCCATGAAAGCAATTTGTTTTGGGTGCACAGACAAGAAAACATTTAAAATAGACAAGAAAATACACAAAATAAATATCAAAATGTACTTTCTATTTCAAAATGTAAGTGTGTGTGTGTGTGTGTGTATATTTGTGTGTGTGTGTGTGTGTATATTTGTGTGTGTGTGTGTGTGTGTGTGTGTGTATATTTGTGTGTGTGTGTGAGTTCAGGTATTGCCGGCGTTGCATAACACAGCAGCAACTTCCTATCTCTTTGTAAACCGTCCAATCAGTGCTTTGCTTCCCGTGGCTCCTCCCCCTCAGCTGGGAGCAGGTGTTTCTGCCTCTCGCTCTGACGCGGGTGATTTAGTATGCAGACAGAAATAGTTTGCTGAGTGAGTGTGTCACTGCTCAGCTGCTACACACACACATACACACACACACACACACACACACACACACACACACACACACACACACACACACTGTACCGCTGTGTGTGTGTTTGTGGTCGCTTCTGTGTGGGGTTTGTTTGATTGGAAGAGGGTTAATTGAAATATTTTGGACATTATATTTCTTCACTTTCCTGATTCCTCCTCCCTCCTCTCCCCCTCCTCCCCCTCCTCCTCTTCCTCCTCCTGATGAGGATATCTGGAGCCACAGCGCCCTCTGCAGTCTCTGCATTGTATGCACATGTTGGAAATATATTTATACAGTGGCGGCTGGTGGAAAATATTTTAGGTGGGGCTGTGGAAATGGTGACCAAACAATACTAGAGGGGTCCGGGGGGATGCTCCCCCGGTAATTTTTTTTGAGAAAAGACCCCTTAAATCATGACTTCTGGTGATGTTAGAGGGGGGGAAGGACAATTTGAGGCTTAAAAATATGAGAAGACTGATCAATACCTCCATAACTTCAGTGTGGTTAGCTATGAATCTTCCAAAACTTCCAAACACCTTGTCCTGGCCATAGTTTCTACAGCATAAACTGTGCAACAGTACAGTAGGCCCACACAAACTGCAGAACACCGGGGCTTTGGGAACACTGATTTAATTCCCATTTAACCTGTTAAGGGGCTTTTTTCCCCCGTTTTTTTTCTCACAAAACTGTGTCTCAGGGCTTCTTAAAATGTAATAAACTATTCATGTGTCCTACTCAGAGGAAACGCATCTAACTGATGATATGAACCATGTTTACCGAAACAAAACACAAGTCTCACAAGAAGCGTCTAAATGAGCCCTGAGCGAAAAAATGCTAACGCACTCTAGGTATAAATCAATCGATATACTTATCAGATATGCACAAACAAGTTTACAAGCTGAGATTCCACATATTCTAGAAATATAAGTATCATCACTGAGCGATCAGAACTCGCGACAGGAGAAGCAAATACAGACATCACACGACGTAGCTTTAGGTAGAGGAGATATGCTCACCTTTTGCAGAATAACAATTCTGATCAAAAACGAGAAAAACTTAGCTGAAGGTTAATCCATAGGTTAATCCAATGTGTCTGTCACTTTGAAAAATGATTGATGATCCATAATTCCATTTTTATGTCAAAAACGGAGTTTTCATTAGCTGTAGCTTCCAGAGTGTATGACAGCTTCCTGTTTTGTCTCCTTGGATACGAGTCCAAACAACTCACAGACTGCACCGGGCGCTCACGTAGGAGCCCTGTGACCATCATATTTGACGACGCTGATTGGCTGAAATTATGTTTTCGCGGCATAGTTTACACGTTACAGATAGCAACAGTCAGCTGCTAGTGGCTGCTGCTGCACTGGTTGAGGGCTCCTCTCTTAGCGCCCAGACGAGAGAAGGTACACGGGCAAGGCCAGGCAGGAAACATGTGACTTATCAGTAACTTTAGACATCGTAACACAATTTTAAACGAGATTTTATTGTAGATTATACATTTTACTGATACCAATTATATAATATTTACCTTGTTCATTAAAAATAAAAATATATATTTTTTTTAAAATATACATTTTTTTTTAATTTTTTTTTTTTAATATGGGAAGAGGTGGGGCGGCGCCCCTAGCGCCCCTATGGACCGGCCGCCACTGTATTTATACAAAAAAACACCAAATCACCAGTTTTTCAGCAGAACCTTTGTGTTGAATTATGGAATTAATTTGTAAACTAGTGAGGTGAGACAATCTGTATTTATCTATTTGAATTGCATCATCATTTGCGAGAGTGAACTGCATACCCAAGTCGTACACAGTATCTCACCTTTTGAGTTTCATAACACATGATCATGAATCAGTTTGGACCTGACAAACCTCCTCACCTCACCTGACTCACCTGACTCACCTGAGACGAACCAGGAAACAGGCTATTAAATAAGATGACACACACTCACACACACACACACTCACACACACACACACACACACACACACACACACGGAGAGAGACGGACTGTCAGATTCAGAACAAAAGTCTTCAGGACGTCTGCAGGAGGGAATATCTGGAATAATAACTTCTTCTTGGAGCAGCGTCTGAATCCACACTCTGAACACGGGGAGTTTCCAGAACAAAGACTCAAACAGGAAGTAACTTCCAGGAGCAGGGAGCGGCTGCTGCTCTGTTCTCAGATTCAACCGGAGAACGATGGCTTCCAGATTAGAGAGAGACCTCAGCTGTTCGGTCTGCCATGACATCTTTAGAGATCCTGTCACCCTGTCCTGCTGCCACAGCTTCTGTAGAGACTGTCTGCAGAGCTGGTGGACGAAGACAGAAGAGAGGAAGTGTCCACTTTGTAAGAGAAGATTTTCCAAGGACTCACTTCCTGCTAACTTTACTTTAAAGAACCCGTGTGAGAGTTTCTTAGAGGAGAGAGGTCAGAGATCTCCAGAGGCTCTCTGCAGTCTGCACTCTGAGAGACTCAAACTCTTCTGTCTGGACCATCAGCAGCCAGTGTGTCTCGTCTGCAGAGATTCAAGAACACACACCAACCACAGAATCAGACCCATCGATGAAGCTGCTCAGGATCTCAGAGAGGAGCTCCAGAAGTCTCTGCAGCCCTTTCAGGAGAAACTGAAGCTCTTTGAAGAAGTTAAAGTGAAGCTTGATCAAACAGCAGGACACCTGAAGGTCCAGGCCCGATACACAGAGCGGCGGATTAAGGAGCAGTTTAAGAAGCTTCACCAGTTTCTAAAAGAGGAAGAGGAGGCCAGGATGGCTGCACTGAGGGAGGAAGAGGAGCTGAAGAGGAAGATGATGGAGGAGAAGATGGAGGCTGTGAGCAGAGAGATAGCAGCTCTTTCACACACAGTCAGAGCCACAGAGAAGGAGCTGAGAGCTGAAGACGTCTCCTTCCTGCTCAACTACAAGGCTGCAGTGGAGAGGCTGCAGCGCCCCCTGCTGGAGGATCCACAGCTGCCCTCAGGAGCTCTGATAGACCAGGCCAAACACCTGGGCAACCTCAGCTTCAACATCTGGAGCAAGATGAAGGACATGGTGTCCTACTCTCCTCTCATCCTGGACCCAAACACTGCTGCTCCAGAACTCATCCTGTCTGAAGATCTGACCAGTGTGAGACGAGGAGGGAAACGGGAACTTCCTGATAATCCAGAGAGGTTTGATAACCTCTCTATCCTGGGCTCTGAGGGCTTTGACTCAGGGACTCACAGCTGGGACGTTCAGGTTGGAGACATTACACTCTGGTCACTGGGTGTGTTAGCAGAGTCTGCACAGAGGAAGGGAGACAAAGAGTCTGGATTATGGAGAATATTAACCTGGTTAGGTGGATTCACAGCATTCTCTCCATCCGGTCCACCCACTGATCTCTCATCTCAGAAGAAGCCCCGGAGGGTCAGAGTGAATCTGGACTATAATGGAGGAAAGCTGTGGTTCTCTGATCTTGACTCTAACACACACATACACACCTTCACACACACTTTCACTGAGAGGATGTTTCCATACTTTTACACTTGGGATGACCTGAGGGTTTTACCTCTGAAGGTTTCTGTGAATGTGAAACAGCAGAATAGATCTGGGATGAAAAGAAAAGTGTAGAAATGTGAAGTACCAGGGGAAGAACAAGGTGACCGTAACAGGGGTTGTTGCAGTAAAATCAGAAAAATCACTTAATTTAAGATTATTTTCTGTGAAAGAGTTTTATTTGATCTCTACATTTATCTGAGTTCATACAGTTATAGCTAAAGACCCTGATCCAGCTGTTTCAAACACATCATCCATGAAGACCTTGGATTTAGGGAGTTTAAAGACCTGGCATCACAGATGAGAGTGGTGGTGGGGAGGATCTGGAGTGATGAGGGGGGGTCTAATCGTGACCTGGGTCTGATGAAGAGGAGGAGAATGGGGGGGAGGAGGGCTCCGTCGATTCACCTGAAATGAGAGCAGATTTAAAAGTTTGCCAAATGCGCTGTTTTATTTACGTCTGTAGGCCGTAGTTGTGAGTGTGGACGGTCGGAGCATATTCAACGTTAGCTTAGCCTGATCGATCGGATCTCCATTCAGAAAACACGCATTTTAAACGTTTTTTAGCCTGCCGTCTGTCTGCAGACTTGTCAAAGCATTAATTCATGGTTGTTACTAACCGGTACCAGTATGTTGTTACTTCGGCATCATTTTGAAACGTGTATTACAATTAAATCACGGTAAACTATGTTCATTGTGTTGTAGTTGTAGCTCCCTTGCAGTCACTAGTGGCCCGGAAAGAACCTCGATTTTGGAGGGCCAGAAAAAAGGTGAAAAAGTACCCGTTAGCCGGAACTAACCCAGTGGAAACGCAAAAAAAAGCGGGCCGGGTTTGGTTGTTGTTGTTGTTGTTGTTGTTGTTGTTGTTGTTGGGACAGATAGGTGTTGTTGTTGTTGGGACAGATAGATGGTGTTGTTGTTGGGACAGATAGGTGTTGTTGTTGGGACAGATAGGTGTTGTTGTTGTTGGGACAGATAGATGGTGTTGTTGTTGGGACAGATAGATGGTGTTGTTGTTGGGACAGATAGGTGTTGTTGTTGTTGGGACAGATAGGTGTTGTTGTTGTTGGGACAGATAGGTGTTGTTGTTGGGACAGATAGGTGTTGTTGTTGTTGGGACAGATAGGTGTTGTTGTTGTTGGGACAGATAGGTGTTGTTGTTGTTGTTGTTGGGACAGATAGGTGTTGTTGTTGTTGGGACAGATAGGTGTTGTTGTTGGGTATTATGGACTTTATCTTTCCAGAGACTTTTCTGTAAAGCTACCAAAGATCCTCGTTGATTTCTTAATTGATATTAAGTTGAGTTAATAACGTGGCAGTAATATTCCTCAGTGTTGCCTCATCTACTTTTAGATCATTGTATATGTTATGATTGTACTTCTCTCTGGGTCTATCACATTATTTGGGTGTGTGTGTTTTTGGTGTTTGTGTAAAGATGTGTCTGATTGAAAGCAGCTGAATTCACGGTGTAAAAACAACATATCTCTCAATTCAGGCGTAAAAAAACATACTTAAAAGACAGTAAAATACAGTGTACTTTTATTAAAAAGGGTTCCATCTAAATATAATGACACATCAAACCGAGGGTGAGCTCTTTACCTAAAACAGCTGGAGACATTTAGGGGAGCTCTACAAATATCTGCATTTGTTGTGTTTTTTTTTCAGTTTAAATGAATATTCTCTGTGTATTAAGGTTCATGAATTAAATAAACGGGTTGTAGTAAAGCTTTTGTCAGAGTGTTTATTGGTGCTTAGAAATGCTAATAATCTGTGTGTTCCTGCTGTTGTTGTTATTATGGGATGCAGCTCCATTGTTTCTCTACAGAGCAATTATATAACATGTTTCAGGGTCAATGTTCTCAGGATTAATTGCAATGTTGAAGATTTTATTGTAATATTCACAAAAGCAACAGTTGTGCAGAAAAAGTTCTCCATTTTGAGAAAAAGTTCTCCATTTTGAGAAAATGTCAGCATTCTGAAATGTTTGAGAAAAAAAATCATAATTTTGAGCTTTTGAGAAAAAAGTGATTTTGAGATTTTGATAAAAAAAATCATAATTTTGAGATTTGGAGAAAAAAATTATAATTTTGAGATTCTGAGAAAAAAATCATGATTTTCAGATTTTGAGAAAAAAATCATGATTTTGAGATTTTGAGAAAAAAATCATGATTTTGAGAAAAAATAATGATTTTGAGAAAAAATCATGATTTTGAGAAAAAAATCATAATTTTGAGAAAAAAATCATAATTTTGAGAAAAGAATCATAATTTTGAGATTTGGAGAAAAAAATTATAATTTTGAGATTCTGAGAAAAAAATCATAATTTTGAGATTTTGAGAAAAGTCATAATTTTGAGATTTTGAGAAAAAAGTCACCATTTTGAGATTTGCAGGCAGTATGAGATTGTCATACTGCCTGTGCTGCAGCACCTCTTTTCCCCCTCTGTCCGACGGTACGTCCACACGGCAGCGTCGCGTGCTTCAACGGAGATGCTTCCCCTTCACTTTGAATGTGGTGACGTCACGCTTTGCCGAACTGCATTGTGGTTCCGTCGCGTCGCTTTGCCTCCGTTGCTCGCTTCGAAAGTTGAGAAAAGTTCAACTTTTCAAGCTTCAACGGAAGCGTCAGCCAATCAAATCATATGCCAGTACAAGCGCTAGCCAATCAAACCGCGTGCTTGTGTGTCTGGGGCGGGAGATTCAGGTGATTGGTTGTTGGTCGCGAGCCAGACACGCCCACCGGCAAGCTTCAACGCGCGCTGCCGTGTGGACGCACCGTGAAACCAGAGCCCAGTCTGCTCTGATTGGTTGGAGCACTTTAGGAGCGTGAGTGTTACACTGATAGAGGGAACACAGGGATTTTAGCCGTTATAATAATTTAAAATAGTTTTCCCATCTGTGTTAATTTTTGTTGTACAGGGCCTCTTTAAAGCAGGTTAAATGTGTGTGTGTGTGTGTGTGTTCTAACACGCTGTCTCCTCTCAGATGTTAAAGGTCCTCCGGCTCACCGGTTCTCCTGCGGTCAGAGTCCCTACAGCGACACAGTTTCCTGGGAGAGGAAGTTCTGCATCCTGACGGACAGCCAGCTCATCCTGCTGCCCAGAGACCACCAGGTCAGAGCTGCTGCTGTTTCATACTTATATACACTATATATGTAGTTACACAGTATATATCATGATTCTTTATTAACCTCCAGTACAGTAAGATCTGGACACCTGCTGCTATTATAGACACATGCATTTCCAAACATTTGGTCTACCTATGTTGCAAATGTTTTATCTCTTCGATTTACACACGGCATCTATTGCACGTGTGTCCGTCCTGGGAGAGGGATCCCTCCTCTGCTGCTCTCCCAGAGGTTTCTCCCATGTTCCCCTTTAAACTGTGGGTGTTCTCTGGAAGTGTTTCCTTGTACGATGTGAGGGTCTAAGGACAGAGGGTCTAAGGACAGAGGGTCTAAGGACAGAGGGGGTCGTATTGTCATACTGATATTCTGTACAAACTGTGAAGTCCACTGAGACAAATGTAACATTTGTGATATTGGGCTATATAAATAAACATTGATTGATTGATTGCTCCTGTTATGCTCTCAGAACAACAACCAGGATTTATTCATATCATCAATATCACTGTCTTCTAGCTTTGATTCTCCAAAAAACACCTCAGAGAGCCATTAAATGCCCCACCAAGCAACATTCTCTAAATAACAGACAGGAAGCGGAGGTGCCTCGAGCACAGTTTGCTGCAGAGTGAAGGCACCTTACAATGGTGTGTGTGTGTGTGTGTGTCCCCCTCAGGCTGCAGCTGAGGCTCAGGAGAGTCCCACCAACTCCTCCAAGGGTCGAAGTCTCCGCAGGACTGTCAGCGTTCCCTCGGAGGGGCCATTCCCCGAGTTCCCAGCAGAGGGCGCCGCCGCCATGCTCGGTAAGAGAGTGAGTGTGTGTGTGTGTGTGTGTGTGTGGTGTGTGTGTGTGTGTGTGTGTGTGTGTGTGTGTGTGTGTGTGTGTGTGTGTGTGTGTGTGTGTGTGTGTGTGTGTGTGTGTGTGTGTGTGTGTGTGTGTGTGTGTGTGTGTGTGTGTGTGTGTGTGTGTGTGTGTGTGTGTGTGTGTGTGTGTGTGTGTGTGTGTCAGACTTTGGAGGAGGTGGTTTAATCCGTGTGTGTGCAAGTTAAATAAATAAATGCACAGACGTGGATTACATTAATCAGAAACAGAAAACTCAAAGTCCTAAAACACTACATTTCCCATAATGCACCTTCCTGATTCAAAGGCTCTATAGAGAGGCGAAGTCCCTCCCTTTCCGGGGGAGCTCCATGGGACCTTATTTTGGAAAAAGTATGTATTGAAGTCAATGGAGAGAGAAAGATTATCTTTTGATCCCGTTTGAATTGAGTCATGAATTACACATATGATGTTTGTGAATTTAAAAGATAATTTTGCAAGTCAAAAAAATTCAAATGTGTCGTAAAACTGTGAAGTAAAACTTTTTTTTGTGTGAAACGCTCAATGAACTCCATCTCCCGTCTCGCACCACACACCAAGACGGCCGTCACGTTGGCACATTTCACTTCTTTCTTTCAGAATGAGGCGGAAAGTATTAAAAGAGGTGAAAATCACTCCAAGTCTGGGCATGTTGAGAGCTGTACATACACACAAGGGGAGTGAGTCGGTTCCTAAGAGCCAGCATGCGGGACCGGGACTCTGGGATTTGTAGTCTTTCTAGTTGCGTATTTTTCATAGTCTTATATTTCAACAGTTTTACGACAAACTGTGACTTTTTTGACATGGAAATTATTTTTTAAATTCACAAACATCATATGTGTAATTCGTGGCACAATTCAAACGGGATCCAAAGATAATCTTTCTCTCTCCATTGACTTCAATACAAACTTTTTCAGAAATAAGGTCCCATGGGTCGGAAGTAGATGGGCTGGACTTCGCCTCTCTATCATCATGTGCACAGCAGCTGCAGAGTATGAAGCTCCTCCAGCAATGCATTATTAATATATATAAGATTTATCTGAAATACACAACTTTGATTACATTTTTCTTTTGAATTGTTTATTTTTATAATAACACACACGATGTAAAAAGTGGATTAAACCTTAAAACGTTACATTTACGTCTCGGATTTCAGGGGAAATGGAAATATCACATTTATTTTCCACCAAAATGAATGACACTACTGTAATCATGTTATTGAGAAACTTGTTTTGTGCAACTCTTTTCTCATAAATCCACATTTTCACATTTATTTTGTAAAGTTTTCCACTTAAGTCTCATTTTTGGGTGTTTTTATTTATTTTAGTCAATGTATTGAACATGTCAGAAACAAAACATACAACAATAATAATGATATTTCTTTACTTATAATAATAATTATAACAAAGTACAAAAAATAAATACAAATAACAACAATGCTCAAATAGTGTCTGTCACGTTCAACAGGGGCAAGAAGAAGCTTAAAAAAACCTTTCTGGTCCCTCCATCTAGAGTACATTTTCCCTATCAATAAAATATTAGGTCATCAGCTACATGTCACGACAAGAAATAGCAAGCATCACTTCACCGTCCTGCTCAGAACCATTTGGGAAGTATGAAGGAGCAGTACATCATGAACAAGGATGCTTGATCCATGAGGTCTTTGGCTTTGATAGAGCTGATATGTGGTTTCCAAGCTACCCCATGTTTGGATTCAGGAGGAAGTAGTTTCTTGGTAAAATGAGGCGTTCGGGTGCAGCGTGTATTTCCCGGCTCTGTGTGGGAGCGTCTCTGTTGCCGGGTAACGTTTGCGGGACAAAGCGTCCAGTGTCCGTCCGTCTGTCTGACCTCTGACCCCTGAGGGACGCCACGACGAGGGGCTTCCCAGCCACATCTGCAGGGGTCCAGAAGAACAATGGCACTTTGTCTGTCTCATTATATAGAGGTAATATAAATAATGATTCTCGTAAATGTACCACTTTTATCTCAAAATATGTTAGTTTTACTTGTAAACATTGAACCTTTGATTCTCGTAAATGTACCACTGTTACCTCAAAATATTCATGTTTTTTCTAGTAACATTGTACGTTTAAATCTCATAAATGTACAATTTTTATCTCCATATATTTACGTTCCTTCTCTGGAAATTGTCAGTTTTATTCTCGTACATGTTCCACTTTTATCTCAACATCTTCTTTGAATCAGAAGTTTATATTATGAGTAAAAAAGTGTATTGTCTGAAGCCCCCCTCTCTCTTATCCTGCATTCATTCACACACACTCATTAATTCACTGACCTCTGACCTCTGCACCCACCATTATGATGCTAATGTTCCCAGTCTGCCCACACAGAGCACAACCCGTCTGGACTGGGTTAGTTCTGGGTTACATCGGCATGGAAACCGCTCACTACTGGAGTTAAACTGGTGCTGTTACTTTACTGTTGGATGTGGGACCTCAAAGTCATTTTTTTGAATAGTCTAATAAATATAACAGTACAGTAACTAAAGTCGGACTGAGCATACCGGTACTTTCTGTAGACCTGTCTGCCCGTTGTGTGAGTGCACTGCGCGTGTGCACTTGTGGCATTGTTTGGGATGACCTCATTAAAATAGCGTCCACCCAGTACAAATATCCCCCTACACCACTGTTTATACTGGTTGTGAATATGACTGTTTACTGGTTTTAAAAGTGAATATACTGGAACTACCCCCGGTTTATTTATATATTCATACTGGGTTTGATGCATGCTGGCACCGCTTTAAAGAACGGATTGATGTTGAGATTAGTATAGAAGTATTTAGGTCTTAATGCTACAGTTATACTGGGTTTAATACTGGATATATACTGGGTTTAATACTGGATATATACTGGGTTTAATACTGGATATATACTGGGTTTAATACTGGATATATACTGGGTTTAATACTGGATATATACTGGGTTTAATACTGGATATATACTGGGTTTAATACTGGATATATACTGGGTTTAATACTGGATATACTGGGTTTAATACTGGATATATACTGGGTTTAATACTGGATATATACTGGGTTTAATACTGGATATACACTGGGTTTAATACTGGATATACACTGGGTTTAATACTGGATATATACTGAACATATACCGGCTTCAACACCTGACGTATACTGGGTTAAGTATTGTTGCATTAACACTGGCTGCTTGCTTTACTGGTGTGTTATGATATATATGATATATATGTACGTGTTGAACGCTGTGTGTTTAAGGTTCACAGGTTGAGACTGAAATAGTGAAACAGGAAGCTGGAAGCTCTGTTGTTTCCCACTTCTCTGTTTGTTCTTCTGCTTCACTTTCTACTTCACAGTGAAGCGTAGAGTTCAGAGTTACTTACACTTCACTCTCTGTCTGAGACGCAGCTCAACCTGCACTCACAGGAATCTGCTGAACAATGAGCAGGAACTACAATTCAATACTGCGTTATATTGCAACTCTGTGAGCGTGTGTGTCCTAAAGATCCCAGCAACATAAATACAGCTTAACATCCAGAACAAAGCCAGTGAGACGTACATGGTCCATCCTGCATCAAATGGAGTCTGAATGTAGTCATGAACAACAAAATAAGAGTCTCAATCTCAGCTTCAACCCAGTAAGAATCAGAAATAACCCCAAAATTAATCTGGTATTAAATCCAGTATTTATCTGCTATCAAACCAAGTATTAATAAAGTATTAAACCCATTATTAATATGGCTTTAAAGCCAGTATACACTCAGTAATAATCTGTAATTACACACAGTATTAATCTGGTTTTAAACCTAGTATACATCCAGTATTTCCACCCAGAATTAATTAGAAATAAACCAAATTTGTACTAGTTTTCCTGCTGGGTTCAAAATATATGAAAAGTATGCTGGTTTTAATACTAGTTTCAAACGGGTTTTTAGCATCTGTTATACTGGGTTTAATAATGAATCCATACTGGACTTAATAACATATTCCCATGGAGTTTAATATACTTTGGACTGGTTTTAACTTTGAACATTGTTTCAAGAGTTATCTCTGAGTGTGTGTGACTGACTCTGCTGCATTCCTCAGCTTGCTCCACCTGTCAGCCCCGCCACAATAAAACCCACACAGCCTGCAACATCACCTTCAAAATAAGAGCCTTGCTACATTTGATTTCTGATGTGACATCCCTTTCTCTGATCTTTGCATTAGTATTGATTTACAAAAACGACACACACACACACACACACACACACACACACACACACACACACACACACACACACATGGAGAGCTGTTAGAGAGATTGATCAGATACATGCAGTAAAGCTCTGAGGGAGAGAAAAGGGAGGAGAGAGAGAGAGGATGATGCTGATGGGCGAGAGAGTAGAGGACGGGACGAAGACGGCAGCAGTTTCCTTCAGCCGGACTTTTATTTTGAAGGTCCGGGCCGGAAGTGTGTGTATGTGTGTGCGTGTGTTTGTTTGTGTGTGTGAGTGATTGAGACAGAATCAGTGTTTTTCTGACATGAGTTAGTCCGCGGCTCTCATGGACTTTCCGGGTGAGTCTTTTATGATTTTAAACTCTTTAAAAAGTCAATCCGACTTCCGGTGTTTTTAACAAGTGTCCGCGTGCAGGTGGCGAAACGCGCGAGAAGATGAGACGAGTGTCCGCGTGCAGAAACTCCCGTTAAAGAGCGATTTAAACATTAAAGCTGCAGGTAGTACCACCACCGTGTACTAATACTCAGTGGTGGGAAGTAACTGTAGTAAACTCACAAGCTACCCTGCAGTATACAAAGTATGTACCCAGTATTCATCTAGAAATACACCCAATACAAAACCATCAATAAAACTAGTCTTGCATTAACCCCACTAAATATACAGTATTTAACCCAGTATACATTTATGTATTTTATTGACATAAACTAGTTTAGTATTGGATTTTTTTAC